ACAAAAAAGTGATATCTTTCACACGTGAAAAATAACACGTTCTTTTCACATGTGAAGATAACACCTTACCATTAATTAAATAAAGGTACATTTAAACTTTTGCTGCTGTTTTGTGTTTATAATAATTTATGTATTGTAAACAGAATATTACATGGGTGCGCGGAGATACAAATTTTATCTTCAAGTGTTCATTTGATATTGAACGAGTGAGCGCATCCTCTATTTACGACATAATTTGCTTTCATATATGTAATAATATGATAAACAGAATACTACATGGTCGCTTGGAGATATGAATTTTATCTTATCTTTTCGCTTATGCTCACTTGAAGATAAAATTAGAAGTATTTCTGCGCGCCCATATATAGACAAAAAGAATATAAGAAATTGTAAGAAAGCCAACAAGTAAAAACTGAACAGAATTAATGTTTCTTACTTGACAGTTCTGGGAATTTTGAGGATCCTTGTTTGATCGGATTTCCTTTGGATAATTCGTCTTTTAGACAGTGCTTTAGCTCATCAATTCCTGTCTTTATACCTGATGATATTTAAAAGAGATAATATGAATCATWTTAAATCATATAAATGATAAAAATATGTTTTAAAACACTCATTMAATAAYATTATTTCRATAATAATTCTTTTGTGAATGATGACYTTTATTATGGGTTGGACAGTTTGGAGGCATGATAGAACTGTTAAAACTAGTYTAGAACTGGACACACTTGAAAGATTAAGATTAGAAAGCAATCAAAAGTATTGTGTATTGTCATCCAATCAAATTCAAGGCTTCTTGTCCTTATTGTAGGTGTGACTGACCTTGCTTTATGGCTTCTTGTCCTTGCTGTAGGCTTGACTGACACTGCTTCATGTCTTCTTGTCCTTGCTGTAGGAGTGACTGACCTTGCTTTATGGCTTCTTGTCCTTGCTGTAGGCTTGACTGACCCTGCTTTATGGCTTCTTGTCCTTGCTGTAGGCTTGACTGACCCTGCTTTATGGCTTCTTGTCCTTGCTGTAGGCTTGACTGACCTTGCTTTATGTCTTCTTGTCCTTGCTGTAGGTGTGAGTGACCTTGCTTTATGTCTTCTTGTCCTTGCTGTA